GACGGAACCAGCGGGTTCACCCGAAGCAGGACCCGAGCCTGAGCGCCGCTGAACACATGGAGAGGAGGAGCGGGGGTGCTGACTCTCAGCTACAGGCGACCCACGCTGTGTGCTCGGGGACGCTGGAGCGGTGAGAGGGGCTGGCTCTGGGCGCTGCTGCTGACCCGGTGGAGGTGAGCGGTGGTGATGATGGCTAGCTACCCCAGTCTGAGGCTGCTGCACTGGGGTCAAAGAAGGGGAACAGGCCAACATGGCTGGTGGACCGCTCTTTCGCCTGAGGACTGCTTCCTTTAGGAGCGTTTTCCTCGCAGTGGACTTGGATCCTCGAGCAGTAGAGTTTGCTGCAGAGTCCAGGGGTTCTGCTGAGGGGGCCGGGATGTCAGTGGAGAGGGCTGCATAGCGGTTTGCCAGACTCGGGACATGGGCCACGGCGCAGGATGGCTCCTCGGAATCCGCGGGCTCGTTATTCGTAAGCGGGCGCTTAGGTGTAGAACAGGAGGGTCCGGAGCTGACGGATCTCTCCCACACGACAGTGTCACAATATGCAGCGCTCAGTGACATCAGCCGTGAATGCTGCCCACCAGCGACTTCAAAAAGTTTGGATACTAGAGATTGTTTCTCATTCAACTCTGCGGTGAGACGAAGGACTTCTTTTCGTAGATCTGCAATGGTGGCACGGTCGCTCTCACGGAGCTCCAAGGTGAGGCGACTAATATTGTGCATGTTTGAGCCAATTTCATTGTCACTTTCCATGTCCTCGTTAGCTTGTGTTAGCCTCTGTGCTACTAGTGGGTTTCAGTCGGGACTAAGTGCTATTTGCTGAAACCACTGAATTAAAAAGATAAAACACTCAGATATATTAAAAAACTGAACAATAAAAACGCGCTAAAAAGTTGTTAAAAGTTTACTAAAAAGGTGCACAGAGCAGCCCTGCAGTACTGCTTACTTTGACACACCTGCGAACTATCTGTATCTATTAGACAAACAAGATGTGTTATTTACAGAGAGAAAAAAAAGTCTGGGTACCAAGCTATAAATATTAATCTTACTTTTAAGTTATCATTGTTATTGTTGTTATGCTTCTTTGGTCATGTTTTTTCCCTATTCTTACCCTATACCTACATATAATAGTAACATACAACCAGATACACATTTGACTCTTCACAAGTTTCTATTAGATTTAACAAAATGCTTCCATCATTTTGCTTAATTCCTGTGAACTCGGGTTAATGTGTTTGTTTTTCCTTTTACAAATCCGTGCTTCACTTATTTCCTATTCATTTTTGCTAAATGAAACACTGTTGTCATTCAACGTCACCAGTCATTTTGGGCTGTGCAAAAATACATCGATTTGATTTTGATTTGACTAAAAATACTGCGTGGTGTTGTGATGTATTTTTAGAGCGGCAGCTTGAGTTGGCGCTGAGTCCAGGCCAAATGCTGAACCAGGATTTCAGAGTCCAAAAGCAGGAAAACCCCACTGAGACCTGAACACACTGCAAACTGGGGCTGGAATATCGACTTGGAATTTTTCACATTAACTCCTGGATTTGCATTTATGTGTATGTATGGGTTGAGTTAAATGTATGGATGTGTCTATGTGTGTGTGTATGTACAGTATGGGTGGATCATTAAAACTACTGGTCCTAATTGTCAATTATTCCAGTGATATGTTATGTAAGGCCGTCATGTTCATCAAAGAAGACCAGAGTGTTTTTGGGAGATACTTTCACACGATGGTGTGCGCTGAAAGTCCAGGTGCTTCCCACTGACGGCCCGTACGCACCGCAAGAGCAGCGAGTGATGCGCCTCTCCTCGGCAGAGTAGGCTCACGTCACAGCCTTGATTTTCTGTTATATTTATCACATGAATCACTTTTCATGTAAGAAGTCAAGCTAATCTAACGCCATAATTTATGAGTAATTATTTCACAAATTATGTCGTTAGAATACTGTATCCTAATTCTAATGAGTGGGAGTGGAACGCCACTAACACATATTTTACTAAGTATAGGCCTATTCCAAAATCAATACAAAAAACAGGGGGAAAGTGGAAACTTGTATTGTCAGATAGCTTCAAACCAGGGAAATATTGTATTGGTCACGTATGTAAATATATATGTTCTCACAAAAATACATATGTATACACTACCAATCTCTCAGTCACATTACATCTATGACAGAACATTTTTGCTGTTTTCTCTTAGAGATCTGCATTTAAGGGGATACACTTGTAGCAATTATCCCGAAAACTTCATGTATACATTTATAGTATTTTAAATCAAACCAATCAGGCTCAGAGAGCAGCACTGATTCAAGCTTCATTCTGAACAATAATAGATCTATTGTCATGGAAACGGATGCACAACAGTGGTGTGAAGATTATGGCTGCAATTTGTATTTCTTACTATTTCCACAAGTAGATCATATTAATTGTTTATTTGGTTGGGACAGTGCATGTTAATGAACACCCTTAAAAGAGTAAAATACCTTCACATATTTAAAGTAACATACATTTTTTGGAGTTGCACGCCCCCCCATTGATCCATGAAATCTAATTTCAAACTAGCCAAATGAATATGGCTATCAACACTTCTATCAAAACAAGCAGAAGGAGTCCTCCTCAAGAACATGAGTCAAGTTTGTGAAGATGAAAGCCCACCCATACATGTTTTAATACATGTTCAAAATGTGTATCGAAAAAATGTAAAATCTAAAAAAAAACAAAACAAAAAAACATGTTTTTAACCTAAACCTTATTGGGCCATTATGCTCTATTGGTTTTCTGTTGTAGGGACCATCCCATTTATGTCAAACGCTTTTCCTCTGTATGGTAAAAAATGCTAATTAAATTCATTGTGTTTTTGGACGTGTTTCTTTAGAGAACTCCCTAAATTTCAAAGTTTGTCTTCAAGCCTTGGATGCAAAGAAAAGAATGTCTTTGTTGTGCGTAGACGTACGGGGCTCTGTGGCGTCTGTGTTGTGGAGCCTGAATGTTTTCTCCTGGATACAATAGCTCTTCATCAGTCTGAGGACAGACTTGGACCAAGACCAAGACCAGGACTGGACAAAAGCTTCAAGTGCATGTGACCTTTTACAGTCCACTTTATCATAGTAAATGACTTTGGTGGGACAGAACCTGGGGTAAGTATTTTGTAATTCAAACATGAAGAAAATAAATAAATAAATATATTAAAAATATATAAATAAATATATATATATATATATATATATATATATATAATATATATATATATAATATAATATATATATAAATATATATATATATATAATATATATATAATATATATATAATATATATATATATATATATATATATATTATATATATATATATATATATATATATATATATATATATATATATATATATATATATATATATATATATATATATATATATATATATATATATATATAAAATATATATATATATATATATATATATATATATATATATATATATATATATATATATATATAATATATAAATAAATATATATATATATATATATATATATATATATATATATATATATATATATATATATATTTTTGTTCAAAGCAGATGTTTGTCTAATAGTTTCATATCTATCACACAGATAAGTAAAACAAATACAGTTACGTTCTCTCCTTTGTCTTCAATATCTCTCACCTGCCCACTGTATGATTGCACATATTTATACCTTTTGTCAGTAAAACCTGCGTTTATCTTATTTTCTCTCAAACGTTACATGTGTATGTGCGCATATATTTCTCACTAAACAAACATAACATAAACCTCATGACCTCATGCTCGTCCTGGTTTGGAGGCTACAGCGTTTCTGCAGCATCAGCTCTATCACCACCGAAACCGCCTCTGCCTCCAGCTGTCACCATGACACCCAGACAGATGCCTGGTCCCCATGACGCCCTATGATTATATTTATAGTAGACTTTTCACATCATTACCATTATGTTTCAATTTGCAGTAACAGGGTATTAAAATGTGTTATATTTTGATAACTTTAGTATTGCAATCTTGTTTAAATGTTGTAGTACTATGACTGTATTTATTATGAAATTAAATCACAGTACTTCTCTTCCAAGTTCAGTGATTTCACTTCTGGAGCAGTTACTGGCCTGCACTATCAGCTGCCAAGAGTCCTACCATCCAACTCAAGATAAGAGAAGATAACCTTTCCATAATCTTTTCGTCCCCCAGTGGGGAAATTTCAGTTAGTTTAGAAGTCAGGAAGTTTCACATTTGGTAGATATTGTACTTTGACAGCAGACAATATGACCAGAATAATTAAAACTAATAATACCAGCAGGTAAAGTGACAAGTGAATTCTGTATTAACTTTAGGAATTTCAACAACAGGTGACCACATGTAACTACAGGAGAGGTGGAGAACAAGGCTCATGGTCCCAGAGGTGTGAGTTCAAGATAATTCTTATAACATCATTTATAATCAAATGAACAAAAATATAATGATAAAAACAAACAATCACTGCTTAGCGGGCAGAAGAAAATGTGCTGACGTCTCCCATATTGTTTTATTTTTGCATAGAACAAGAGCTGACTCAAACAGACTCCATGAGCAGGAATCTGAAGCCAAATTATCCAAGTAGTAACAGCCTAGCAACAGCCTAGCAACCAAAGCCAATCAGAAGTGGCTCTGCTCCATTTCCGCTTCCAAGCTAAAATTAAGTTCGGGAGCAGAATCCACCTGATTGGTCAGTTCTTTGGGCTCATAGCTGGATTCACAAAGAGCGCCCAAAATGGTTAGTGTGAAATAAACGGTTACAGAGCAAAAGGAGTTTTCTTTTATATGAAAGTGATGGGGGGGCAAAGGGAGTTGGAGCAAAACGTCCCTAGACTTCCTTATGCTAGCAGGTTAGCGATGTCTATGTATATACAGTCTATGTCATGTACACAACAAACAACTTATTGCAAACATGTGTATACCTCATTATGACTATTTTTGGAAGTGTGTACGTTAATTACCTGTTGTCATGGTGACCCAGTTGGCTTGAGGCAGCAAGTGTGGGATTTGGAGCGGCGTGGTACTGGACACAGCCTGTAGATTGCAGACTTGTGACTGGCAGACCTGTGCCTGGCAGACCTGTGATGGACAAAGCTGAGGCTGGTAGGCCTGTGATGGACAGACTTGTGGCTGGCAGAGCTGCGTGGTCTCCCTCGGCTCTGCTGGAGCGGGTGTGATGTGGGAAGGTGGGTGACCTTGAGGGGGGCAGGACATAGACTCAGCCCCCGTCAGCGGCTCCTCTCTGAGGCTCTTTAAACGTCTCTGGAGGAAACTGCAGAAGCAGCAGAGGAGGACCACAGCCGCCCAAATCATCCAAAACCCGGCAAAACAAGCCAGAAATGTGTACGTTCCTTGGGACATCACCATAGTGAAGCCCTTCTGTATGGATCACCACTGCGGAGCTCCAGAAAGACAAGTCAAAGTATGAAGATGCATTTTTGAAACATCTCAGCTTTGAGCAAGGGAAAAGCAATCTCTAAAAGTTGACATTCACTCTTCAAAGTTGTCCTTTGCTCTTCAAAGTTGTCCACAAATGTATCAAACTTTATACAAATGACGATGTCTCCAGTTCATCTTCATGAAAAAGTATTCCAAAATGTCCATGTAGTAAATCCATTTGTTACAGATGAACATGGACTGTAGAAGCCACAATTTCATCTGGAAAAACACAAGAACTTAGATCAAAGATGAACATGATGAAATAGAGTCTGAATATTCAGCAGTGGAGAATTGTGAAGGCACTTGTCATTCCCTGGTTTGAATATCAAATCAGCCTCAGTGATCCGCCTGTCAGTATGACTTTCATGACTTACAGATAAATAGCCTTTGTAAATAACATTTCCTAACAGTTTTTGGATAACGATGTGTAAAATTGTTATCCAAATGTGTAGTCTAAGTCTGTACCTCTGTACTTCTGTATCTTCTCCAGTTCATTGTCAGAGAAAGACAGAATATTCTGGAAATAAACGGCTTTCAAACCAAACCATAGAAGACTAAAGAGAAGAACATGTCCATTGGATAACATGAAAATATTTTATTTAACTTTGATTTAGGTTTTGTTTTCTGCATTTTACCTGAACTACACCGGCTCGCAGCAGGAGCAGAGAGAGACCGGGTTTTAACCTCTGCTGAAGATTTGAGTATTTGCATGTTTGGGGAAAGCAGACACAGGGAGAAGATTCACAAGAAAGATCCGGCTCAGAGATTTAACCCATGCATTCATTGACTCATAAAATGAAAAGCACAACTGTGTATTAAGTCCTCAAAAGTCAATATAACAAAAAGTATGGCTTCCTTAAAAGGCAATATCAAAATCTGCAGATGTTCCCATGATGCATTGGGGCTTCTTATTCAGATGGAAATAGGCAGCTGCACAACACAAAATGACATTACAAATCTTGGCAGATGGCTTCAAAATATTCAACAATCAATTTGAAATGCAGAAAAGGAGAATTGCATGATGGGAACGCTAATGAAGGGAGATTCATGAAAGATGCTGTGCAGATGTCATCGGTCGGGAAACAAACAGTGGCTGAGTGGTCACAGCCTGTTTGCCAGGCTCAAACATGGAAACATGGTTTATCCACTGTTATTTTCATGTTTTGTATGTATCTAAAAGTCTTAAAAGGCCTGTAAGTATTGTTCCCCTGTAGAGAATATGTTACTTCAGTTACAGATATGTAAATTCGATTCAATTCTTTTTTGTATAGCCCTAGATCACAACAGTAGTTATCTCGGAGGACTTTACAAAGTGGTGGATTCGCAATAAAAAAAACACATAGAGCCACTGATCCATAAGGGTGGATGACCAATGTTTGTACATGTCAATAGATGAACATTTATGAAAAGCACCTTTTGATTTCAAAATTATAGTGCATTTGACATTCATAGAAACAGGAAGTGTGCTGCTGACTTGCCAATGTGAATATCTTAGTTGCAAACTGCTCTTATGAACTCATCATGATGTCAGTGGGAGTGGTCAGCTGTCCCGTCACGACTAAAAACAAGTGGGTTACCATCTTGTCGTTCTGACTGCGGAACCGGAAATAGACTACAACGACTTTCTCTGAGTCCAACTCAGCTTTAGAGCCTGGTTCAAAACATGGCGCTGAGACCAAAGCTCAGATCCACATGCGTGTCAATGCTGCAGGGGGTGCATTTTGTCGAACCAGGTCCATTTAGCAGCTGAGGATTTTAAAAGTTTGCAGAGAAATCCAGTCATGTGAATAGTACATGTGCATTATATGTACTGTCTTTGCAAGGTACATTAATACACTACAAAAATGATACAATCTTGAGATTGTCATTATGGTGTATGTGAATATGTGTTACATAACTATATGTACAGTACTGTGCGTAGTGATTGCTGAATGTTACATATAGTCGTTATGTATACTGCTATTTCTGTGGATGTCCCTGACGGAGGAAATCAGCACTTTGTATCTACCCAACTGAATGTTTTGTTTCGTATATGTGAATATTAGTTCATTGCTGGTAGTCTTTGTATATAAACCTGGACAGGGTTATTGTTTGTTGTTTATTGTATTTATGTATTTTTATTTTATTCTTTAATTACAAATTTTGTTTTAGATGTCTTGAACCTTTTATTTCATTTTAGTTGTATTATTATTATTATTATTTTATTTTTCATTATTATTTTTATTGTTATTTTAATTTACTATTCTGTTATTATAATCATTATTAATTTATTTAGTTATCAATTTATTATTTTGAGCTTCTCTGCCCATCACAAGGGAAAGGGGATATGGGGACCAAAAGGGGGATAAAAAGTCAATTCTGATGCATGCTAATCAGTGCAAAATGTGAATACATTGTCAAATACATTGTCATACTTGAATTAAAAAAAATTATCACAAAAAAAATGATACAATCTGAAGTAATAATTGCTTGAATCAAGTGGGTTTTTTCTTATTAACTTGAGAGGGGAAAAAAAGTAATAGTTTAGTCTAAGTAAAGTAATTTTGTATCTGAATAAAACCACCAAAAGAAAGAGTAGTACAGTACAGTTCTAGTTCCTTCCAAACATAGCTGCAGATGCTGTATGTCCTCGAGAGGCTATTTTCTGTCCACTCTATTCTCACACTGAAAATACTCAATAAATAGCTTCTGGTGGTGTGTTGTTGTTATTTATAAGATATTTCATGACTCACAGACACACTCCGAGCTGAGAGGCCATAGTGGAGATGGTGTCACCTGTGGGAAATGACTCGGGAAATGAACAATTACCATGAATCAGCCCGGTGAGTGGCCGTAAAAGCTCAGAGGCACTTAGCATCAGAGGAGCCCACGCACCCGCGCCCCAAGCGTAGTGAAAATACAGTAGTGTTAAATACAGCGAGAGCTTTTACAAACGGATGATATTACAGGTGACAGAAGGGCTTACGCAGCAACATCCAACTGTCAGATACGGAGGCCTTAAATCTGCACGACTCAGACCACAAACACAAGGACACGCACAGTCAAGCTTAAAATTGTTTGATTACAATATTCATTTATTGTATTTTTATTGTTATTATTTTTATGTATATGTATTTCTATTTTTTATATTTGTATGTCTATGTATTTTTATTTTTATGTTTATGTATTTTTATTTTTATTATTTGTATGTATTTTTTCTTTTTAGGTATTCTTATTTTTATATTAATGTATTTTATTTCTATGTTTTTTATTTTACATTTATTTTACATTAGCACTCACAAACACACACTCACCCTGAACTATTGTACATATTTTTTCAGTGGTAGGGGAAACCGCAGCACCCGGAGGAAACCTATGCGGACACGGGGAGAACATGCAAACTCCACTCAGAAAAGCCACTCAGCCACCGTGCCGCCCTAATTTTTATCATAGCATTTCTTGTGTTTGATCTGTTTTGGCGAATCGACAACTTTGTAAAGTCGTCCGAGATAACTACTGTTGTGCATTAGGGCTATACAAACATTTATTAAATTGAGTTTAAAGGCCATTAACATACTGTACATTTTCTAATTCCCTGAACACATCACAAGTCCACCCTCTCTGTAGTTGAAACAAAACTTAATTTAGTACCAAATCTAAATCATGATATACATTTTTTGTGGCTCAATAATTACAAAGATTTGAACCGTATAAATGCTGTCTGTTTGGATGCTTCGTGAATCCAACCTGCTCATCAGATTATAAACCGTGTAGGCCACGTTCTGTAGCTTAGGTCCTGGATCTATAGCCTGTCCGTCCAGGAGGAGCGGATCCCCTTCTCAACTTGAGGGTCTCCCCAAGGTTTCTCACTTTTTTACCACTGTTTTTTTGTGTGTGTGAGTTTTTCCTTGCCGATGCATGAGGGTCTGTTGGGCAGTTAGTGTCCAACTAGAAGGACTGTGTTGATGATCCAGGACACTTTAACGTTCTACAACATGTATGGACATTTTTTTAACATGTGTTTTATATTCTTTATGTGTTTTAACTGTTGATTCTCTGATCTGTGTTGGTGATTTCAATGGTTTTGTTAAGTGATGACTTCTGTTGTGATTTAGGGCTATACAAGAATAAATTGTAATTGTAATTGTAAATGGTAGGCATTTCTAGTTTTGTGCTTGGAGTCACAAACAGATGCATGAATGTTGAATATGAATATGTGAAACTATGACCTCACATGCAAAGCAGATGGAGCAGGTGGACCCTCTGGTAAAATGGCAGCAAAGTAAAGACATAGGTGTTTTAATACTCTATAGGTGATTTAGAATGAGGATGAGGTTTTTAATTTCAATAGTTTTGACTTGTTTAGTTGTGCCATGTTTTAGTTCCCTTTTTTTCTTCTTTGTTACTCATAATAATTTAAGATACAGTTTCTTCAAACCAATGGTCACATCAATCCATCCTCATCAAAAATACATTACCCTAAAACCAGAATTCAGGTCACTTCATTCATGACGACATAGAGGCTAGTTTTGCAGAGTAGCCGACATTCTTTGCTGATGCTAATCTCAGCCTGTCAGTCAACATCTTTTAATACGAACTCCAAACAGAGGAAATGCATCTTTTTTCAAATTAATAAATGTTGTCTGTCTTTGAGTAATCAAATTACTTCTTGCTGGTATAGGAAATATTCAGTACATCATGGATTTTTTACCAGATTTAAATTAGACTTTGAGAGTGTGATTACTTGCTGGACATATTGGCTCATCTGTGGAACTTATTTTACTTAAAGTGCAACTATTTAGACTTTTGCTATCTACTACCACATAGTTCAAGTCGATTATTTATATTTAAGAAGTGGACATATTTTTATCATATCATTTTACTTCCTGGTTGTAAAGGATGACATCACCAGAGGCAAACTGGGCCAAAAATCCTCTAATGTACATGGA